ACACTTGAGGGCATTAGGGGCATTTTAGTGTTTAGCTTTGATGTCATTGGCAAGTTTTGTTAGGTGTATAAACGGTTGTCAAAAAATAGGGAAATCTTGACATTATCAGGTAAAGTAGTGGAGGTTACTATGATTATTGAAACCATAGGGGATGTCCCACTATATGTCAGAAACCTCAGGGGAGGTAAGTGTCATTTACCCTTGTACATGGTTAATTCTTTGATTTGACATAATTTCTTGATATATATTCAAATTTGAACTTGAGAGATACTTGAGGGCCCATAGAGCTTACCACGGGTCCCATTTCGATAATTTGAATATTTTATTTTGCAAGGTCATTCATGTGTATTATCTATTTTAAAAAAAAATAATTAGATTGATCCAATAATCGTAATTTTTTTCATTTTATAGTGTCTATTTTCAAAAAAAATAGATGATCTATTTTTAAAAACATATTTATCATCTAATTTTTTTTGAAGATAAATATCATAAAATAAAATATTACAATTTTTAAATTGACTTATTTATTTATTTATTTTTCCCTCATAGATGATATACATTAATAACTCTACAAAATAAATCGTTTAGATCATTGAATCAAAATTCATAATAGATCCCACAAGCCGCTTAAGTTCTCCCAAGTTAAAATTTGAAGTTGAAAAAGAAACTGTTACTCATATATATATGAAGAAATAACATGTCAGTGGTATTTTGTAAGAATAATTTCAATTTTATGAAAGCATTTATAAAATTATCTTTTAATATTCCAAAGTTTAATATGTTATTTTTTTTTACGACTTAAATTGTATTTTCCCTGTTGTTGACACCACATTTTATTTTTCTGTCGATTGTGGCCTATTAATTATGGTCAAGTTCGATTATTATCTGTCGATTGAAATCATAGACTATTTTTAAGGAATAACATTTGCCACATTTGTTGTTGTTGTTGTTGTTGTTGTTGTTGTTGTTATTAATTATGTCAACAAGCATGCTGACATGGCATGGCGTATGTGTTAAGGATGTGGCATGATAACATATTAAATAGAGGGCCAAAAAGTTAGCCATTGCAGTTGTTGAGATCAAGGAGCCAAGGCCGAGTCAAGCACTAAATCTGCAAAGTGGTTACTATGAACATGAGATATGGATGATGTTTAGGAAATCATAATCTAATGAGAAAATCATGAGATTTGATTACCTCTCTTTCTTTCATGTGACTGAGGCTATAAATAGGCCAAGAGAGATACAAAGAAGATCACTTCAAACCACTCACAATTTGTGATATCTAATTAGGAGTAGTTAAGTTAACAATTTAGGAGTTGATTAATTATAGCTTTTTCCAACCCGCATTTTTTTTTTTTTTTTTTTTTTTTGTTGATTGTTGCACTTTTCAATTCTTCATTTTTATTTAATTTCATGTAACTTGTAGCGATCCTAGTTTTGCCACTTCGCTGAGTATGTCGGGGATCAAACTGCCCGGTCAGCTCACGGGGGTCTAAGGGCTGCGCCCCTCGATGGGTCCAAGGGCAGCGCCCTGGCGGGGATCGAGCTGTTCGATCAGCTCACAGGCGTTCAGGGGGCAACGCCCCTTAGCAGGTCCTAGGGTAGTGCCCTGGCGGGGTTGAGGGGCAGTGCCCCCGAAGCAAAAATGCAAAATGCATTAGAAGTTACTTGTCTGCTTGAGCGGCCGTCTATGCGCTCGAGCGGTGAATGTTTAGTTTCAGAAGTTTGATCTATCTGCAAAAGTACTGGGAAAGTGTATTTGACGCTCGAGCGGGACTTTCCACGCTCGAGCGGACCATGTTATATCAGTTTGTGAATTTGATATTTCAAATCACTTTTGTATATCTCTCTCTAAAAATCCTTTCCTCTCCCTTCTCTCTACATTTCCCTACGCCAAATAGGATCAAAACCTTGATTTCTTAAGATCCATTAGAGTTCTGCCATAAGTTCTTCATCAAAGTTGGTTAACTTTTCGAGGGCTTCGTTGTGTGCGATGAAGATCAAGTTTCGACACCGTTGATTTTGGGGGTTTTATCTCATTTCTTCTTCAAAACTTGAGGTAGGGATTTTCTTAGAGTTATATATATATATTTTTGCAAGATCTAGACGATTTTCGAAATCATCCTTCGATAGCTTTGAAAATTGATTGTTGATTCAAGAAGTTAAGCAATTTTGAAAGTGGGTTTGTCTCTTGTTTTTTTTTAAAAAATGATCTTATGGATTTTGATCTTCATTGATTGAAGAAAAGATGATTTTGGAAAGTTTTCTTTCAAAAGATTTGAGTTGTATAGTTTTGGTGAGAAGACCTAGAATTTGGGGATTCTTTAAAAGAGACTGAAAATCCATGAATGATATTGTTATATTTATTTTGTGTGTCAAAATAAATGGATGTGTGGAAAATTTCTTATTGATATTTATATAAATGATGAATTTCAGGGAATGTGAGAATTGTTGTTCATTTTTTAAATTATTGTTCAAAACGTTGAAATAGTCTTGAAATGACTAATTGTTGAGGATACTTGAGAAGAGAGAATTGTGTTATTCCTTGGATGATGAATTAGAATAAAAATATTTATATTCATCTTGTGTTATTGGCATATCAATTCATTTGATTACATTAAACTTTGAAAGTTGATTTGAAAACTTGCATTGAGAAAAGAATGTTGAGAAATAAGTTTTCATGAATTGGTTTTGGGGTAAATACGGCGGTAAGTCTTGACAGGTGGTATAGATGAAATTGAATAGGTGTCGAGCCTTCCAGTTAATACTGGTAAAAATGACAAATTATAGGTGCTGAGCCTTCTAGCCAATGCTGGAAAAAATGACAAATTGGTTGTACTTGTATAGTCTACTTGCAGACACCGACCTAGGGATTACCAGAGTCGTATTTACTACCCTTGAAATAAATTGTTAAGTTTTGAACAATTGAAATTGCATGATATCATTGAGCATGATGGTTTTCAAAAGATGAAAATGTGATTTATCTTCAAAAAGGGCATAGCATGGCATGTGCATTTCATCTCTTGAGACTTGTATAAGATGTATATACTTTGTTAAGGATTTCCTACTGAGCTTTATGCTCACCCTACGGAATTTTTGTGCAGGAAAAGATGTGGTGATTCCACTCAACTAGGGGCGTGGAAGTATGAGTGTTAGGAGAACAATGCTCTCATTTCCTGTGACTCTGTGTGTAAGCCAAGGGCTGTGTTTGTGTGGGTTTGAATAGCTGTTTTGTGTAACGAGGCTCAAGTCTTGGAAACTTGTAAACCCTTTAGGGTATTTATTTGATTATTTACTTGTTATTGGATTAATGTATTGTTGCATAAAGAACTATTATATAATGTAATGTAAGTTTGGAGATTTATATTTGATTTTTCTTGAAAGAGCCATGATTATTATCTTATCATTTGGGTTAAAATTTGAAACGTTATAGGATGCCTTCTCTACTAGGTCACCACCCAGAAGGTGAAGTTAATCTCAAAATTTATAATTCATTGATTATTTCCAAGTGAGAATAATTGGCAAAATTTGTGAAAGTCTCTTACTTATGAGTTCATGCCTTGTGGAGGTGGAAAGTGACGTGGCAAGGTAGTGGGGAGCTTTATATAATAGAGTATTGAGAGGGTAATTTATATATAAATTGGGCCGAGCTGGGTAAAGGGCCATTCTGTGGACCACGGTGAGAAGGGCTGAGTAAAAGGGCCTTGTAATTAGTCTGATCCAAAAGAGCCTTGCAGATAGTCCGGTCCGAAGGAGCTTGGTGGTTAGCTCAGTCACCATAGTCGGCGCGGTGGCAGTTAGCTCGGTCATACTATATTGTGCCGAAGTATGTTGGCTTATGCTTAGGACCTTGTTGTTAGATAACTCGGTCCAAGCTCATTGTGGATAGCACGGTTTCAGACAACCCAGTTGGAATATGCCAACCGAGGTACACGCCCAGTGAAAGGAAGAACCGAGCTAGTTGGAGCTCGGTCTAGTCTATGGCTTTAGCATGGCCATGTTATCTCGGTCATATTGACATCCAACCATGGTAAAACCATCTCACTTAGTTTAAGCAGTGACAAGGGTGTTGAAGGATAAGCATTATCTTTCAGGAATGTGATTCCTAGGAGGACTCTACATAGAGGAGCAAGAGTCCTACTAGGATTGTGCCACACGGAACCTATAAAAGCTCATAACATCACCTTTGGAGAGGTAACACAACTTTGATTCCCAAATACACAGAGCTTTTTGTCTATTTGTCTATTTTGCTGACTTAGGCATCGGAGAGGTATCCGCCACACACCCGCCGACTAGCCCACGTTTGTGTTTTCAGGGAGTAAAGCGAAGTCGTACGGAGGAGCGTAGACTTGATCAACAGGATTATACGAGAAGGTTTATTTCCTTCCCGACAGGAATGTTAGTGTTGCTCAGTCCAATCCCAATTTGTTGAACTTCTTCTTGGATAACTCTGAAATTGTTATTGGTAATGGAAATAGAGTCAAGTTCTGGGAAGACAAATGGGCTGGTAATTGGTGAGTGAAAGATAAATTCCCTAGACTGTTTTCACTATCATTAGAGAAGGATGCATCTCTGAGAAGTATGGTGGATGGGAGAGAAGGTTTAGAAGGACGGTGTCTTAGTTTCAGAAGAGCCTTATTTGCTTGGGAAGTTGATGAAATTGGAAGACTTAATTCATTGCTATCACCTATACAGCCTTCCTTTTCAACTAGAGATGATTGCATCATGTGGCAGGCTTCTCCTTCAGGTATGTTTAGTGTGTTATCATTATATAGTAGAAATGTCCATATGCATACTATGGAGGTCACTAATCTTATTTGAAATAGCATCTTCAATTCTTTGGGTGGCTAGCCTGGAAGGGTAGAATCAAAACCACAGATTAAATTCAAAGATTAGGTGTTCTGGACCCTAATGCTAGAAATGAATGTGCCTTTTGCAACTCTGATCTGGAAACAGTTAACCATGTTCTAATGTTATGTCCTGTCATTTGGAGGGTGTGGTCAAATTTGAGTGCTAATTGTATATAATGCTATCTGCATTCCAAGATGATTAACTAATCATTAATGAAAGAACAAGGGGTTTAACTTCTCAAATTAATTGCAAGAACTGTCTATGTAAAATGAGGTATCATCAGAGGTTTCTCTCTGTTTCATGAAAAAGAAGAATGTTAATAGTAAGTTTGCATATGCTGCAAAAAAATGGAATACTGGATATAATTATCATGGATCAATAATGTGAGAAAGGCATATGGAAACATGAATAAAAATAAATAAATAAATAAATAAGAGCACACAGGCTGAACTAATTAGCCAAAGCAAGTTTATAATTTAGAAGAACTTACGAACTTACAATTATAGCCCCAGTAGGATCAATCCACCAGTAGAATCGGATTGCTAGAACAGCTGTTGCTAATCCAACTGTGTTTGTGACAACATCAAAGAAATGATCTTTAGCATAGGCTCTAACAATTTCATTTTCGAATCTTCGGCAATAGACCATGAGCACAAACTTCACCACAGTGACAGATACCATAATCCCAATCATCCATTTTTCCTTCTCAGGGTTCGTGTTGGGACCGACCTGCAACGAGGTGCAGAAAAACAGAAGAGATGAAAGAAGTGACTAACATTATAAGCATTTGACACAAGCATAGCCTATATTTTGTGGTAATTACTTTGCTGCATCGACTAAAAATTGCTCATATGAATGACATCAGTAGACAAATAGATCCATCAATTGGAAGGTAGTTACCTTGCAGACTTGAAAAAAATTAAGCAAACCCTTTACAACTCAACTACCTCTCTGAAATTAGCAAATTATTTACAAAATGACTTCATTTATTTTTCAACTATTCTCAAGATAAGTATTGACTACATGGTGTGATAATTTTGCATATAACGAGTTGGATGAGCCTGTCACCATATTGCAGGCCCAACTGCTTGCATCCCATCTGCAGGTTTTTATATGGGATTTCCCTTCTGCCTAATCCCAAATTGGAGGACTCAGGGGTATGCAGTCTCTCAAGTGTCAAAAATCTTAGATAAGTCAAGGGAAATTAGCTGATAGGTCCAAATGAGAACATCGTTTTAATATCTCTGTGACAAGAATAGTATAGTTCTAGCGAATTAGGATCAGTTCATTCCATGTTGCATACATGCCTAATAGATGCCCCAAGGCATTGACAACCATGTCTATGTTGTATTGCATCAAATAGAGGAGACTTCATTCATTTTGAAGGATCCAGGTAGCATAGGCTACCTCTTGAACATATATCATCCTCAGTAATAAGCAGGGAAGCAGGGGTAGAGCCAAGAATCCTTCATTGGGATGACCGGAAGAAAGGTATGGGATAGATTCTGCATAGACAATCGGTGACCAATAAAGAATTATAAGAGACTAGTATAAATTTATACATGCTACCCAATTCTCATAAGCCTATAGCCCTATTTGGTGAAGCTTATTGGGGCTGTTCATAGCTTTTATTATCATGAGAACCTATGTCAGAGAGTTTGGTGCAGTTTTTTCTACAGTTTATGAAATAAAAATAGCTCAAATAAGTTGAAAACTCCTTATTATCAACTTTCAACTTATAAGAAGTTGCACCGACCAAGTCCTATGTAATTATTTGAATATTATTCGAAATGCTTAGGTCCATAGTGCTTTGCAAGTAGTCCAGTTAAAAAACTATAGAATCTACATAAGAAACCAATATCTTTTCTCTAGCAGAATTCAAGCAAAAGTTTTATTTATTTATTAATTATGATTTTACACCAATCAAATAGACTATATTCCTCATTTATTGCAAAGTTTTTTAATATGTGGTTGCCAATGCTTGTTAACAAACAGCTGGATTAAATTTTTGGAAGGCCAATATGAGACATTTAATTTTGAAGGACAACCATTATACAAAGTGGGCTTTTGAAAAAATTTTAGGGGTGCCGGATTGAATTTGGGAGGGCCACTACATAGAAAGTAGGATTTATCAAATTTTGGCCCTAGTAATGCTAGTACCAACCCAAATATATGCTCCTTTCTACCACACACAATTTGGCTACATATCAGTACTCACATTATGCTTGTGCCTCCTCACTATATACATTGATGGCAAAGATTTCTATTATTCCAAATGGTTATGTATAATTATCATTAACAGAGAACAATTTAAGGCCTTAAAAATCTGTCTAAGGGGCCTTCCCAGAGGGTGGATGTTAACATAGCCTGAAATCTTTCAAAACCCAACTATAGGTTAAAATGTCTCTATGCAATAAGATACTCACTAACTAACCTGTCTTTACTAATGTAGGTTAGCCAACCTTTATTAACTAGACAGTGAACCAGGTCAAACTCACATACCTTTGCCATAAGTTGCCTAGCAGATTCAAGCAATATTTGTAATCCAAGAGTTGCCATTACTGATGCAAAAACAACGATACCCTGCAAATTGAAACCTAATTAGTGTAGATCCATTGAAAGGGGAAAAACTGATGTTACAGACATCTTTTAGAATGTGTGATGTGTACCATGCATGATTGTTTTGAAGTTAAATGCGAATATTAACTTGCATGGGAGGCATATACAGAGTCCTAACAGTATCATAGTCTTCTCTTATCTATATTGTTTTATGGCTGACCCTCCTCAAGGTATGATAGCATGAAATATCAAAACATGCATGCGACTTGCTCAGCTAATAGAAAGGGACATTACATAACAGGTTCACCACTACTAAGACATCACTCCACTACCCTATGTTACACGGGCTCTTCAAAATAAATCATATGTGTCTTACACCCGACACTCAGACAAGAGTGTGGGATATGTGTTAGATACTTTTCAAATAACACTTATATAATTATATATAAAACTATCATTATATGTACATATTGTTGTATAATTGGTATAAATGTCTTTTTAACACTGTAAGTTACATAGAGTACCATTTTTTTGCCGAGTCCCTAAATTTATGGTTTGATGAGTCCAACCTCTAGATACATACTTGCACCCAACATCTGTATCCAAGTCCATATAACATAGCCACTACCCTTTACCAGGGCAAGTGAGGAAGGAAACCATGAGGTGAAATCAGATGTATGTCCAAACCACTGAATTGCAATTTCATAATTTGTTTGCATCTTTATTCACATATGCAATATAAGGCATTCACTTTAAGGTTTCATCAGGAAATCTATGAACTTCAATTTTATAATGTTGACTATTTCTGGCATTGAACTCCACCAAGGTTGCTTAACAGATCCGCCGGTCCCAAGCCCGGGTAAAAGAGGAGGGTTTAGTGTTAACTAGCTGACAGCCAACACGTAAAAAAGCGGCTCGAATCCGTTATGACATTGTTGGCACATAAATTTCAACAAATTTATGTTAAAATTTCAAATATGGTCAATCAGTCAATGACACGTATAAAGCCTATGATAGAAATGTTATAGGTAATCACTTCCTAAAAAGATCAATATGATCTATTGAAGTGCATAAATAAAACAACGTCGTATCTCAAGACGTTATTCAAAATGCTCAAGTGACGCGTGGAACCTACGAAAGATGGCACCTGTAGAGCCTACAGCAAAGACACCACACAGGATGAAACCCCAAAGATCAATCCGGTTAATCAGATATACAATTAATCATATAGCGCTATCATTCAAAATTCAAATGGCGCTATCATTCAATTTGAAATTCAAATTGAGGATGAGGCATTCTTATCACCTGGATGGCCCTCTATAAATATGAGGACCATTACACAAGATTAGGGATCAGAAAATCAGAAGTGAGAAGATCAGAGAGAGAGAGAGAAATCAAGAGCTAAAGAGGTCGTTACAAGAAAGAAGAAGAGAAGCCCAAAGAACTCAAGAGCCTACGCTACAAACGCAGAATGGCGATGAATAGGTAAAGGGTTCCAAACCCGAGAATTGTACTTTGTATTCGAGGGTTCAAAATCCATAACAATTTCAATTAAATATTTATTTTTCTTAAATTGTCTTCTGTTATTTATTTTGTTCTTCATTAATTGGAGGTTTCATTTATATAAAATGTGTAATTAATGATCTGGAATACAGATCGGAAATAGGAACCTGCTATTCAAATAATCAACACTATTTAGTCCAAAAAACTAAACAGTGGACATTTGTAACGTAAAATTTTGAAATGTGTTGAAACACTTCATGTTTCAAAATTTGTGTCTACAATGAATAAGAAAAAATTGACTACTTTTATCTTTTAAGTTGTTTTGTCGGACACAACGTTAAGATGGAATGATACATAGTTTTCTTGTCTCTATGCTTGAAATTGACTATACTTTTTATCTTTTAAGTGGGTTTGAGAATATTGCCCGATAATGAACATAAGAGATCGTTTGAAGCTTTTGAATTGCCGTTTTTATTCGAAATTGGATGCACTTATATATACTTTAGCCTAGTCAAACACCTTAAGCAACCTTTTTCTAGACCAATCGAGCCTTAATAGACCTCTAGGGTTCAAATTCTTTTCGAAACCCCTTTCACTTGTTACAATCCTAAATAAGGATTTTGTTTTTGCGTGACATGTTATGTGAAGAACTTTGCAAATTTCAAAATTGCCTAATATGTAGTAAAGGCAAAATGGATGCTTTATGTAGTATATTGGACAACATAGATTGTCTCGCCTCCGATTTTTAAAGATCAATTAGGCGGAAACAAATTAACTTGGTGACAAAGCCTTGGGTCTTGGGGGTGTACTCTCTCCAAGGTTCAGGGATCGAAACTTCTTAGGTGCTAACAATTCCTTGGGGCCATCTGACTGGGGGAAAACCCTTGAATTAACCATGGTGCACTTGTGGGAAACTCCTTGCCGAGGACTTGTGCACTCCTAGGACATTAGTTGGGTTTTGATCTAGACACCTTCGTGCCAATAAAAAAAAAAAAACCTAAGCACGAGGTGTTAATTAAAAACTCCCTTTATTACTTAGTTCATTCTCAAAATCCCTTTCTATAGCCAATTCTCATTCAATTATGAAATTTAGGTTTGTCTCGTAAAATGTTCCCAATGGCCTTAAATTGTATGAGGCTGGAAAAATGTCCATTTTTCCTTTATAAGAGCCTAACTGAACTTTAGGTGACAAAACAAGTGTTTTGATAAAATTCAGCTTGTATTAGGAAGTGTGCCATTTGATAGTTTTTCAAATAATTTGCCCTTTAAGTTCAAAAACTCTAGTGTTTTCTCACGTACTAAACACATTCTCACTTGGCGCCCAAACTAATAAAATGAAGTACATCATGCAATAACGGAAATAAATGTTTGAGTTACAGACCTGAAATTAATTAATATAATAATCCAATAAAAGATGTAAAGGCACTCCAGCCCAATTAACGTAGGGGTTGAACTTAACATGACAAACTACGTCCCAACGCTCATGCCGGCGGGTGTCCATTAGTACCTACACAATGCAGGGGGGGTGAGTATTGACACTCACCCAACAGTAATCTCATTTCTTACTAAGTAAACATGTTACTATGTTAGTGTCGTGACAAATAAATTATGTAATGGAATGTCCAATTTCTGGATTAACTTAATTTTATTTAGTCCATCTTATTTAATTAACTCACTAGAGATAATTAGATACTGGAAAGAATCCGAAATCAATAACCGCCAATAGGGCTTCAATAACCTGCCAACAGGGCAAAAAATTTAGCCTTGCCAACACATACCATATCCAAGCTATAAATAAGTACATACTAGGTCCTACATTGATCTCACCTGATGCTCCCTCTGAGCTGCATGTTAGAAAATCCACACCACCCTCTCCACAGAAGCTACTATTGCTATCAACTGCGCAATGTCCGGGGTTCTAACCCTCAAATAGTTCGATCCACTATCTCTTGAAGCTTATTGTCAATACCGGCTATAAGCCTATAACCCGGGCCACGCCTGTAAAATCAATAATACCGGGACTCGACCGAAAATCAACTGAGTACAAATAAAACTCCAAACTTGGTTATTTAAGACTCAGTCACAAATTTACTTTTACAGTTGGAATATTTTTCGACACTTGGCCATTTTCTCAAAAATGTTCTCCTTGGCCAATACCCTTAAGGGTCCAATCTCAATTATGCCCCCAAGGCATAATTGACCTAAATGCCCTTAAGGCACAAATTACTAAGATGCTCTCAAGGGAAAAATTACCAAATTGCCCTCAAGGGCAAAATTACCAAATTGCCCTCAAGGCATAAATTATCATAATGCCTTCAAGGCATCATTTACCATTATATCCCAATTAACGACAAGTTAATTTCTTATATGATAAATTCAAAAATTTCACCCAAATTACTTTTAATGGATTATTTTACCCTTAAGTGGCCAAAATCACCATTTAGCCCTTATAGTCTCTAAATTCATTAAATAACCCAATAAATCCACAAAAGTAACTCAAACCTTAAAATAATCATAAGAACATATTTACTCAAGAAACTAGCATGCAAAACTAGTTTGAAAATTTTGAAAAAAAAAGCAAAACTCAACTAAATCAAACCATGTTTTTGATTAGGCTATTTAACCCTATGATTAGTCTAACTACATTATTTTTCTCAAATTTTCAACACATCTAAGATTTCACATAATTCTAAAGTTATCCAAAAATTATGTTCTTTACATCAAAAGTATTAGAATATGGCATAGACAACACCTTTTGATATTTGAGTAAAAAGCCCCAAATGTTTCTCGTACCCAATTCTTTCTTTGTTTTTGTTTTCGTACTCTCTTTTACATGTTTATGGAAATTTATGTATAATGTATTAGGGTTTGTGATATAGAAGAGGGAAAAGCCAATTTGCAAAGCAAGGGCGTCGATGAATCAATGACAAACCACTTGCATTGAAGGTTGGCAACAGTAGAAACATTGCGATTCTCCGTGCCTTTCAAACATAAACTTTCATTTTGATTATGGCCTCGAACAAATCGCTACATTCCATATTTCTTTTTTGTCTGTCTATTTTTTTGTGAATCTAAACTTAATAGTTTTCTTTGATTTGGTTTTTTAATTTACTTTTTCTTTACGATCTCATCTGTTTTTCCCCCCTTATTTTCTTCATAATTTTTTTTTACTATTGTCAGATTTTTTGTTGTTTTGCTTGATTTTCTCCTCTACCAAAGAGGATCTGTGTATTGAAATCCTATATGTTTTTTGATGGATTACACAGATAGATACGATTTGTTACCCGTATTATGACTATTGAATATTGATGATATGATTTTGTTGACGTCGTTTGAATTTATGAACATCATATGATTTTTCAGCCGCAAAAGAATTAACCAAAAAATTATGAGTTAAATTATTTGAAAAATATTTTTTATAAAATTATTGGAGATGGTTAGAGACTTGGGTGATGATGTATGATGGTTCAAACCAATGATGGAGGGGTGATTGTGATTTGTAATTAGGTGGCAGAGAGAGGTCAATGTAATTTAAACTTGTGGGGATGTCTCCATCTTGTCAAAAGCCTCAATAGATAGGTCAGTGTAATTTACCCAATTATTTAAAAAAAAAAATCTTGGACTATATCATATTTCTTAATTTTTTACATGTAGTAGTAACAAAACTAGATTCAGTGTACTTTACCTAATTATTTAAAAAAATTCTTGGACTATATCATATTTCTTAATTTTTGCATATAGTAGTAACGAAACTAGATTCAGTTTTCAGCTTTTTGTTTGTGGATTTGGATGTATTTTCTAGTTTAGAGCTTGTGACAGCCATATATCGATTATCTTCTACTAAAATATTTGTTGATTGCCAAATGGAATTCTAAGAAAAATGCTGCTAGTTTAGCTTACATATGGACTTCCTCTTTGCT